TTCTCCCAAAACCCTTATAGTTTTCTAATCGATAAGAGCAGTGGGAGACTCTTTTGTTAAAATAGTTGGTCTTTGTCTTCCAGATAGCTTTACTTCCTGAAATAGCTCCGAAGCAATAAAAGCAAAAGAGATGTCTTGTTATTCAAAATAAGCCCCTTTCAACCACACCTGAGTTTATACTAATAAGGTGACTTTTGGAAAGCCCTCTTATTAGGATGGAGGCTGAACCCACCCTTAGAGGGGAACCCACCAAGCCATTAGAGGGTTGGAACTGTCAGCACCTCCTCATCACTCCCCTACCTCTCAGGGAGGTGAGAGGGGCTGGAAGTTGAATTAATCGCCGGTAGCCAGTGATACACTCAGTCATGCCTACGTAATGAAGCCCCCATAAAAAACCCAGAAGGATGGAGATTAAAGAGCTCCAGAATGACGAACAGGAAAGCCTTCATGTGCTGGAAGGGTGTCCTCAAATTCCACGGGGACAGAAAATGCTTGCTTGGGACCCTTCTGGACCTCACCCTATGTACCTGTTCATGTGGCTGCTCTTTCATATTCTTTAATGTCTTTTGTAATAGACCAGTAATCTAATAAGTAAACCATTTTCCTGAGTTTTGTGAGCTGTTCTAGCAAATCAGTCGAACTCGAGAAGGGGTTTGTGGAAACCTCTGATTTATAGCCTGTCAGTCAAAGTGCAGGTAACAACCTGGACTTGCTGTTGACATCTGAAGTAGAGGGGTGGGAGGATCAGTCCTGGGGACTGAGCCCTCCCCTGTGGGAGCTGATATTGTCTCCGAGTAGAGAGTTTCAGAACTGAGTTAAACTGCAGGACACCCAGCTGGTGAGAATCAGAATTGCTTAGCGTGGGGAAACCCTCTCCCCGACACTTGGTGACCAGATGTCAGCAGTGGGGTAGCGCACTGAGGGTGGAGGAGACACACAGCGAGTGTGTTTTAACTCAGCAATGTCTTTAAAAAGACGAATTGTTAAGAAAACTTAGCAGTTGCCAGTTCCGATGGGAGGATTTGCTTTATGATCCTTTGCACTTTCATATGTATATTTTTTAATTTCTCTGAGTTATGTGCACGTATCCCCCAGCTTACCTTTGTTGACAGGCCAGAGTCGAGTCTTCCCCTCCTGGCCTGTCCCCTGGCTCTTGCCAGCTCTTCAGACCCCACACACTTTGGGCCTCTGCTGCCTTTTCCTGGTGGACCCTGCTCAGCAGTTCCCCTGAGATGCTCTCATCATTTCTGCTCTAACGTCTGGTTTTGTCCTTATGTGTTGATTGTGACCCCACTGGATGAATTTCATGCCCCATGGGTCGCAGCCTTCACTTTACGAAGCACATTCCCGGATTGCGAACTCGGGGTGACCCACATCTTGGTCATCCTTGTGGCCGAGCACTGGGCCCTACTCCCAACATACCACCGGGCTCAATTTAATTGACTTGTTCAAAATTGAGTAACCGATAGACGTATTCATCGAGTAGGGAAATAAGTAAACACATATTTAATGACATGAAACGACGGCGACGCGAAGTGTGACTCAGGGACATGGATGTTGAGCTTCCGGAGTTCACCGCGACCAGATGAGGCACGCTCACGGGGGGTGTTCTGTCCCCACCTCTCTTTCATCCAGGAGTAAAGACAGGACGGAGTTAGAGAGCAGCAACGAACCTGCGGAACAGACGCATCCGGAGTACAGCCGGGAGCTCGAGGTGCTGTGTGAGCAGCTGCGGGCCACGCTGGACGGTTTGGTAAGAGCCAGGGCCCCAGCCCCCGCCGTGCTCTCCGTCACTGACCCCGGGGCTCGCGGCACCACGGGCCGCCTTCCCTTCTCCAGACCTCCCCCGTTGGTCTCTTCCTGCACCTGTCCCGTAGGTCCTGCTGTCCCCACAGTGCGGTCCCCGTCCTTCATCCTTTTGGTCCTGTGTGTTGTCCGGGGCGGTTTCACCCCCTTCCAGGCCCCACACCAAGTACTTTAGGGCTTTGTGGGCCCCTCGGTCTGTCCTGTGTCCACTCAGTTCCTCCAGGGGAGACTGCACGTAGGCGAGTGGCTGTCGCTGTGTTCCAGCAACACTTTATATGTGGACACTGAGATCTGAATTTCATACAAGTTTCGTGTGTCAGAAAATATTCTTTTGATTTTTTTTCAACCATTTAAGAGTGTAAAACCCATTCTTAGCTTGCGGGCCATACAGAAATAGGCTGCGGGCTGGATTCGGCCTGTGGGCCCTGGTCTGGCCCAGGAGAGACACTCAAGTGATCGTTTAATGAACCAGGCTGGATTTCAGCGTCCACCTTACAGGCCACCAAATGTGGATAAAACACGTCGCCTCTTGGCTGGGCACACAAATAAGGTTGTTCACACGTTTGAACTTGGATAACTAAAGCTTAGCTGCAAACATAAAATCTTTATATTTTAACCTTTTCTTGATGAGAACGTTTCTGATGGTTTCTTGCTTCCTTGCCTTTTTCAACAATATGTCAAAAATAATTGTATTTATTCAGGATATCAATTCAAATTTAGGATTCTACCTATTATAAGGCAGACTTAATAGGTTTAAATAGGTTCAAAAGAGTTTTCAGGAGAGAAATACTACCATTTTAAACATCCCATCGCTTGTAAGATGTGTAAAAAATGGCATGTTGAGAATTTTTTGATGATTTAGCCTTTTTTTAACGATTGAAATGCCGTACTATCTTCAGCGTGTTTTGATGTGTTTGGGGCTCTTTTTCTCCTCTAAATTCACAGCTTTTTGTGATTGTCTGCTTTGTGATTCTGCCTTCCCTTTGGCCGTGGAGCTGTGCTGTGATGAGACACTTGCCCTGTGCCCTCCACTCAGTACACGAGCAGGTCACAAGGCGGCAGTGTCTGTAGTAACCTCATGTTCAGCCCCACTCACTGGAAGGTGGGAGGACAAAGTGTGTGGGCCTCGCGATACCTGTGTTCTTTGCTTTATCTCTGTTCACACGGTGTCTCTGGTAGGCGAGTTCTGGACATAGACTTCTGCACCGTGGTGGTCAATGGAGGCAGAATAATCGGTTGAAATGTACATGGTAACAAGCTTTTGAAAACTGGGCACTTGTATTTTGTTTCTTCGTTTTTAAATTAATGCATTCGATCATGACAAGTATTTTTGTTGAGACAAAAAGCAGATGTACCGATTGTTTTTGAAAGAGAAGGAACTGGGTGGCCAAGTTCCTGTGTTGAAATACTCTAAACAGCCAGCAAAGCTAAATGCATGCTGCTGGATGAGCACTAATCGCCTCATCACTTGTCATTTTCACATCACCAAGTGCCACCAGAACTTCTATCCTTGACCTACAGTTTCCTTTCTGGTATAAAACATTTTGCAGAATCCCCGGATGGTGTTAGAATGAGAAGTACTTTAGATGCGTACTGGGTCCAGAAAGGCCAGCAGCAGGCTCGGGGAAATGTGGGGCCCCTGCCCTGGGTCCCTCCATCCCACAGCACAGGTCCAGGGCGAGGGTGGCCTGGCCTGAAAGTGGCCGCTGAGTTTCAGGTGGCTGTGCTCGTGGTGAGCCAAGATCCTGAGATCTTCAGACAAAGGCTGGTCTGAGTCGATGAAAGCCAAGAAATGGGGAGCCCCCCACCCCCGGTAACAGACAGAGGGAGGATGGGCGCACGTTCAGAGGAGCTGGTGGGGACCCAAGGGGGCAGGCCATGGCAGAGAGAAGTAATTGGAGGAACTTGGGTGTTAGCCCAGGAAAGGGGAACCAGTAGAAATCACAGCCGCCATCACAGCGAAGAGGCTGTCCGCAGAAAAAGAACCAATGTGCTGGTTTATGAGGCCCAGAAGTGGGGGAGACCCCTGAACCCGCACGTGGGTTTATAGGCTCAGAGTCGGGGAGACCCCTGGTGCCAGCAGAAGCTTTGACTCTGACCAGTGAATGATCACTGAAGCCCCGTGCAGAGTGTGGGTGGGCTCTCCGGGGAGGGTGGTGTGTCCACCGTTGGAAATGTGCCCCCAACAGCCGGACGGTCACTCGGCGGGTTTATTACAGAGGTCATTGCGGAATGAACCCTGGGTGGGACTGGGTTGGTGTCCACACAGTTCACCCGTCCTTACACCTACCGCACAATCGCATCGTGTCCCGCACGCTGGGTCACATTGTCCTAGAATGCAGTCAACGCCGAGTATCAGAACGTTAGCTGGGACGGCTGCTCTGCCAGGGTCCGGGGCGTCCTCCCTTATCCCGGGAGGGTGGCATTATTTAAGTTTGGCGAGATGCAGAGGCACGGTGGTGACCAGGAGCTGCAAGATAACAGAGCAGGAAGCAGGGCCCGGCCTGGGCTCAGGGTTATGGGCGCCACGGCCGCCTGCCGCCTAAATGCCACCCGGTCCCCGCCTGCGTCCCACACGGGGAAGGGCCCCGTGGTCTCGCACCTCCCTACCCCCGGGTGCCTGCTCCAGTGAATCTGTGTATTTTCCGGACGAGCAGACTTTACATCTAGGACGGTTGTAGATCCCCAGAAGGGCTGAGCAGAGTGCAGAGGGACCGTAGCCTGTCCCCAGCCCACGTGCCGTCCTGCTCAGCGATGCGTGTGTGTCACGCATCGGCGTGGTGCGTGTTACGGCAGGAACCGGCGTTGATAGGCGGTAATTAACAAGGTGTGGTTCGTTCAGATTTTCTTCACTTTTCCCTAACGTCCTCTTTCCAGGCCAGGGCCCCATCCGGACAGCACAATAAGTTGTCTCCGTCCCCTTAGGCTCCTCTTGGCTGTGACAGTTAATCAGACTTTCCTTGTTTTTGATGACTTTGGCAGTTTCGAGGAGGACGGTCAGGTGTTTTGTAGGCTGTCCCTCAGCTGGGAATTGTGTGCCGTTTTTCTCGTGGTCTGTCGGGTTGTGGGTTTTTCCCAGGAAGACCACGGAAGTGCCCTTCTCACATCATGTGACAGGCACATCCCATCAGTGTGACGTGGCACTGTGACCTTGATGACCTGGTTGAGTGCGTTGGTCAGGTTTCTCCACTGCAGAGTGACTCCCCGCTTTGGCAGGAAGTCACGTGCGGCCTACACTTGATGGGTGAGGGTTCGTGCCCCTCCCCGAGGGTGGGGCCCCTTCCCAGGGTCTCTGGAGCCTTCTGCAGGGGGTGTCTCTTCTCCCCACGGACTTCCTCAGCCCCTTATGTCTGGCAGCACGGACTCTGGGTTACTTATCTGTCTTATACTTTGGGTTATGGTCCAGCTCTGCTTTACTTTGTTCCTCAGATTGCTCCCGCTTGGGCCATTGGGAGTTCGGGTGGCTGCTGTGTCCCTTTGACAGGGCCCTACCATTGTGAGTCCTTGCTTGTTTTTTTGAGCCCGTTCTGCACTGCAGGGTGCTCTGGGCTCATCTTGCGTATTTCCTGCCTCAGTCTTAAGATCAGCCATTTTCCTCCAAGGAGCCCCAGTTCCTTTTATTGGAGAATGGCGTTTAAACCGAGACCTGGGTGCTAGCTGTCTGCTCCAGTGAATTTTTTATATTTTAACGTGGTTTGGAAATAATTTATTTTATGTTCATATCATAAAAGTTGACATTATGAGGATATCGATGTTATTTTTGCTGTTTTCCTCCAGCCTTTGGAGAGAATGGTTTCCCAGACATGGCTTTAAGTGTCTAATGAATGTGACCTTGATGGGGGTTTTGAGGCACCCCTTCCCCTAAGCTGGACAAACACTTAGCAGTGTGGTCTGCCAGCGTGGGAGGGCACGTACCACTGTGAGCGGTGAGCGCGCCTGCTGTGAGCGCGCTGTGAGTTCAGGGCTGCACACGTGTGTGACTTTAGCGTCGTTATTGACATACGAGCTCCAGGATCCAGCATCAAGCCTCCAGGACTTCCCATGCTTTCCCGATCTTCTTAAGCTTTTCTTAGGATCGGGTGGTATCAAGGAGCTGCTGCCGGATGCAGAGGGGAACAGAGCGTTGGGCGTCAGGAGACTGGGGGTCAGGAAGCGTGGTCTCAAGTCCTGGCCTCATCGCTCCTGAGCTTAGCCACCTTGAGAATTTTCCAGCTGTGAGACAGAAAGGTTGAGACCTGCCCTTGGGGTTAGGCCAGGTGAAATATTGAACCTAAAGAGATCAGGGAAGGAGTAGAGTTCTGTAAACATTAACGTTAGCGAAATTTAGTACGAGCCACCTCAGATGTAATTGGAGGGTGGTGGAAGGACCAAGTGCAAGGAATTCAGATTTCAGTGCTTTATGTATCTTATTTCTCCGTGTCCATAAAGCTATAGCTGTACTTCGGAGTCAGCACTGTGGTCTTAGAGACCTGTGCTACTTACACCTGGAATCTTGGTTACCTCACCTGTTCGTTTGGTTTAGTCAACCTTCCATAGCTCCAGCTCCCCCATTGACTTAGTCCTCCTAACCCCCGGGAGAGCATGCACTTGGCAGGCCCACTGCGCTGGCCCGTCCCACGGGAGGGGTGGGTGGTGTCCACCGTGCTGGCCTTGCAGGTGGGTGCACTGAGGCGCCCGCAACGTCAGGTTCTCCTAGGTTCCTTCCTGCCTGAGGGTTTGGGCTGCCTTTCGTTACTACCATTTCATAAACAAGGAAAGCAAGCCTCAAAGAAGCTTCAGGAAACAGGCAGTTAATGAAAGAGGCAGAAATGAGCTCCTTCAATGCCCCTTCCCTCTTTCATCCCGAAAAGCCGGCGTGCCCTGCGGTTCCTCCCGGGCCTCGGTGCTGACCGGTGGGGAGTGTTGGTGACGTGGGACTCGGCCGACCTTCTCCTCTCCAGGACGGGAGGTCCGGGGTTTATTACCGAATAATCCAAATGACCAAATCGGGGGACACTGTCTGCCTCCACCTCCCTGGAAATTTGCTGTGCATGGCGTTAACGGTGTTGAGTTATTGGACTTTTGGTCTCAACAGACATATTACTTAGCTTCGAAATCTTAGAGTTACTGCATCTGGGACTGGAGTAGATTTCAAATTATATGCTCATGTTCCAAATTAATATCTTTTCAGACCAAAATACAGGTGAAAATGGAAAAGCTGTCTTCAACGACCAAGGGAGTCTGTGAGCTGGAGAACTACCATTACGGGGCGGAGGGCGAACGGCCCCTCCTGTTTCACACGTGGCCCACAGCCCACTTCTGTGAGTAGTTCTTTCTGCATCGATTTTCAAAGGTGAATTAGGAGAGCATTTGGCACCATTTAGGTCTGGTCCACTAGGAAGCTGATGGCTGCGAAACTTAATTCAAGGGGATCCATTTAGGGGAAGGAGATGGGACCATCTTAAAATGAGCATTTCTTCTTGGCTTTAATCTCCTAATAATCAACAAAGAATATTAACAGCGTAACTAGAGACCCATGAAGCGACTGCCGTTATTAGCCCTTTAAACCAGTGGGTGGAAGGAAGCCCACCTCCCCTGCAGAGGCAGAAAGCTTTTTTTTTTTTTTGGCTTTTTGTTTTAATTAAAAAACAAAACTGCAGCCAACCCCATGGGAGAAGATTACTGGAAAAAATGGACTCATCACTTAAATACTCTGTGTGAGATAAGGGTTCAAAAGAAAGACTAAGCTATTTGATAGCGATTTGAGACCTCACTTTTAAACAAGGGAGAAAAGGGTAGAATCACCTACTGTGTTTATTGAAATATCACCAGTTCGAGGTTAATCTATTTATAATCATTTATAATTTATGTCACTATATTACCATTTATAGCCAGTGCAGGCGCTTAGGAGTTGAGTGGAGAGGCCTAGTTACTTTTTCCCTTTGTGACACCTAGCACGTTACGTAATCTGCTAACCCGCCCCCGCCGAGTGATAGGGTGCACCGGGTCCTTTTCTGTGCCGATGCTGCCGTGATTCCGGTGCTCGGTGCGGAGCTTCGCAAGGTGCCGGTCCTCCCCCGGCAGTAGCACTGCCCTGAGCGGTGGCCGTTAAGGGCACTTGCGCTTTTTCCAGACGAGGCCTCCCGCCAGCTGTCCGACATGTACGGGAAGGAGCTGCTCCTGAAGCGCACGATCACGGAAGAGCTGGCACACTCCTCGGACCACGACCTCACCCTGAGCTACTTGTCCCTGTGGCTGCACCAGCCCTACGTGGACAGTGACAGCAAGCTGCTTCTGGAGAGCATGCTGCTCGAAACCGGGCACCGAGCGTTGTGACCTCCGTGACCTCCCAGCACGCCTTGCGCGAGCTGCTCCGGGCCCTGGACTGTTGGCCTCTGCGCGCCCAGGGCGGCCAGCCCTCTGCCTAGGACCCAGTGCCCTGTGCCACACCTGTGCGCTGGCCTGGCCCCCGCCCGACCTTCTGAGGGTCCTCCAGACCGGACCATCTCACCAGCTTCCCTGCAGCCTCTCCAGACACGCCTGTTACTGCTGCGTGACATCCGCCACCCGGCGTCATCACCCATCGTGAACCTGTCACCCATGAGGGCTTCTGCACGAAATAAATGCGTTCCTCGACAGAACGATGGCGTGATGGTGTTTCTGTAGATTACGTGTATCTTACATGGATTACATTTGCATAGAAAGTCCTTGGTTTAGTATTTTTACTTCATACCTACCTGTATTGTTTACATTTTTGTGAGACTATATTAGTTTCATAAGCACAGCTAATGTTTAAAATACCATAGGGTTAACTGGGTAAAGATGGCATCATGGAAAAGAAAACCACAAGAAAACGGCTTCTATTTCCATGCTGAGGATACGACAGTCCGAGTCACACTGGTAGCAAAACTCCTAATACTCTGGCAATATTTGCCACCAAACGTTGAAGGGTTGAGTCTGCCATTACTCCCCAGGAACAAATCTAGAATCGTGCTGTGGGGTACAGGATGTAGCCTCATGAACCAAAGCTCTAGAGCCCCACGAACAAATGGAACAGAAAATATGTCAAAAAGAAAAGACGTCAGTATGGCAAGGATTTACTTTGAGAAAAAGGGTATCTTACTATTGACATATCAAAAGCATCTAAAGGCAACATTTCTTAGAATTTCTCTTCTCTCTGCCTGTGCGATATTCAATTAAAATCCAACCATCACAAATGTAGCCCGTGAGACATGCAGGCTGGAAACCTGGTTAGCGGTGCAGCTGACCGGGTGCAGCTGAACAGAGCTCCGGGCAGAAATGGTGCTTAGCCACACGCTCCCCCGCTCACTCAGAAAGCAGGCCGCTGCCCTGAGCTGCAGGGGCAGATGGCAGCACCCACCAAGGCATGAGGTCCATCAGCAGTCAGTTTTATGTTTGGGGGGCACGTAGCGAATAACTCCCCTTCAGAGGAGACACTGAAGGATTTCTAGGCCTTTCTAGACATTTCATGTTTCTTGATGCCTCATCCCCCAGACACCCAAGTAACTCGGGAGAATTAATAGAAAGGATCGATACCGCTCAGAACAAACAAGTAAAAGAGCTCACTGATGAACAAACTGTCCCGTGACATTAGCCCAGAGATCTGTCCCAAAACAGAATAGGTATCGAATTAACGGCAGAGGTCTCTGGTTGTCAAATTTGCTGAGTTCCAGAGCCATTACACAACTGTAGAAATAATATGCAGAACAATTTCCATCCGAAAGAAGCAAGTCATCAGAGAACTGGTATTGGAATTCTGTTGACTGGCGGCTTGACCACACAGTGATCTCTGCCTCCAGAAATTGGGCCAAAAAGACAGTGCGGAAATATAAAAACACCAACAGAAACAGGACGGGATTGGGGAGGATTTGGGGATGAATTCATGATAAGTACGTTTAATGAAAACTAAAGCAAATAATTCGTATATATTCCACCAAACACAAAGGTTATACAAAAGCACTAAAGCAGTCACAACACCACACACAGCTCGGCTGCAGACCGCATTTGCAGGTAACAAACGATAAAGTGACCTGACAGTTGATTGGCCACTCGTCTGTTTACCAGATATCCCTGGACCCCACCTTCTCGGCCCTCGGCAGCCTGCCCCGCTAGCTCCCTCGTGGTTGGGTGAGGCCATATGGCTAGTTCTGGCCACAAAAGTACATTTCATTGTGGCTTTGACCTGTCCTGGAGTCCTCTCCCTCTGGTGTGGCCACCAGCAGTGTTGGAGATGTGGCTGCCCCTGCCGGGGTCCCCCACTTGGCCATAATGAGACAGCCCTCCCACCAACCTACGAGTGACATGTGTGAGCAAGAAACACCTTTGTGTTTTAAGCTGCTGAGGCTTTGGACTGAGCACCAACCCCAGCCTCTCCAGACTGAGCTTAGCTGGCCTGGGAGCAGGTTTGGCAGAGGCCGCCAGTTGTCCTTCACTGCCGATTCTCTGCTTCACTGACGTTTAGGCTGGCACGGGGCCACCGGTTTAGGACTAGGTGTGGCACGTGACCGATGAGAGCAGAGAGCCTGCGTGCACCTTCCAGATCAGAGGCCTTAAAAGGTGTGTGTGCTCCTGTTCCTTCTCCCCCACTGGGGGATGCTGCAGACACAAGGGGGCCCTGAGCCTCCCATACCTCCGTGAAGAGGGCCACCCTAGGGGTGAGGAAGCAGCCTGGGTCTGGACCACCTCCAGAGCAAAGCCACCCAGCTCTCCAAGTGCCTACCAGCTCACATTTTGAGAGGTACCGTGGTCTCAATGTGTCTCCCCGTGAATTCACATTGAAATCCTAACCCCCAAAGGAAGGGACGGTATGAGTCGGCGGGGTCTTGGGGTGCGCTGGCATCCTGAGCGCGGAGCCCTCGTGAATGCGGTTAGTGCCTTGTCTCAAAGAGGCTCCGGTGAGATCCTGGTCCCTTCCACCATGTGAGGACACAGTATGAAGGTGCCGGCTGTGAACCGGGAAGCGCCCTCACCCCACCAGCCGAGCTGGAGCCCCATCTCCGACTTCCTGCTCCCACACTGTCAGTGCTAACTTCCCATTTGCGAGATGCCTGGTTTATGGTATGTTGTCGTAGTAACCTGAACGGACTAAGACCAGAGAGAAATAAAACAGCCTTGTTTACATCACTGCATCCTTGGTATCTGTTAAAACAGCCAGCTGATAACCTATCAAGAGGAAGGTTGGGACGTGTGTCCACGGGTGGCGGTGGTGGCAATGGGGATAGCGCGGGATTGGTTTATCTTCCGTACATCGATAAAAATGCATAAAACTGAAGCATCACGAGTGAGCATAAGCTTGGTATTTAGCGATGGAAGCTGAAACGCCACAGAGACAGCCGGAGACCGGAAGGTGGTGGCTGGAGAAGAGGGCGGCGAAGACGGGACCGGCCGTCGTGTGGCGCGGTGCAGGTTACTGTGACAACGCTGGTGGTAATCACGCTGCAACGTGCACGTATCAAATCAAAACAGGAGCTGCGTCTATAAAGACTAAGTCTTAGAGAACCGACACTTTTAACTACACGCATGTATAATTGTTAAAAAGTAAAAACCAAACAGAAAAAAGAACCCTGAGCAAATGGGGGAAAAAAACCAAGGCAATTATCTCTGGGAAAAACAAACGCTGACAAAGTGTCATCACGGGACGCCGGGCTCAGCAGTGAGCAGTATTCACATTTCGCTGTACGACTGACTGACCACCAACCCCAACTGTGACATAAGGACGACGGAAGTGTACAGCGGGACGACATGTGAGCCACGTCCCCAGACAGACATGGCCAGGCGCGTGGAGGTCGGGAAAGTGGTGGCCTGGGTGAGGGAACTGAGGCCTGGGGTCGGCCGACTTGCTCATCAGAGGCCCTCGGCAGCCCTTGATGTTTTACGCTGTGTGCGTATCATTCCCTAGATGAGAACGAAGACTTATCTTAAAGACATGGACCTCAGAGGGCATCAGAGGCCGAGTCTCCATGGCCCCTCCCTTCCGGGTCCGCTCTCCCCATTCCCACGACCTGGCGGATGACCTGGTGCCCCAGAGCAGAGGGGGTGCACCTGCAGGGCCCCCCAGCTTTCTAGGAAACACAGCGAAAAGGGAACTGTTATTCATCACATTTAGGACTCATTCACAGCGGCTGGACGCAGACTGGGTGCCAGAGACCATGGTAAATGCCGGAAACACATCCTCACTGAAGGCCCACACCGGCCACGCGGTGGCGTCGCCCGGGCGGTGTGAGTCCCAGGTGTGCCCTGGTGCCTCTTCACGCTTGCGCCTAGGCTGAGTAGCTCAGACTGTGAGTACCGTGTGTACAAGAGGAGGTTCTTGATGAGCAGATTCTCACCTGTTTTCTATGTACTAAGGTCACGTGCCAGTGCAGTGCTGTGACGCCGCCGCTGCGCTATCAATCTGTGTTTGGGGACCTTGCAGACGCTGCCCTGGGGGTCCGGCGAGGGCGCCCCAAGTGCAGGTGTGTCAGCCCTGAAGGCTGGGGTCGGGTCCGCGCCCGTGAGCAAATTCACTGTCCGCTTATAGTAGCACCTGCGTAACGAAGTTAAGATGCGCTGGCTAGCGACAGGGTGACGTCCTGTGAACAGAGACGTGTATCGGGGCCTCGGTGGCCCCCACCACGGTGGGACCCGGCCCACTTGTTGTCAGGCGGGGCACCTAGCTTTTACGCCTCACTCGCCTCAGTCATGCACTGCAAGTAAAGACGACTTTCTTCCCCATTTCCCAGTTAAATGTGCCCAGAACGGCTCGCTTACTTAGTTTTTACTGAACCTAGAAGCAGCTTCTAGTATGGCCCAATCTGGTGAAGAAGCAGCACATCAGAAGGAGAAAAGGGACGGTCATTTGGGACCAGGGAGCAGATGATCAAGTCATAGCGGGATCAACTGCAACGGCCTCCGACACTTCTGCGAGGTGGGCAGCGGGAGGAAGGCGTCCATGACAGCCACCCGTACGACGAAGGAGAGAGAGAAACGCAGACAGTGTGGTAGAAAGACATTCTTTATAAATAAAATGTTCATTTGTGTCGGTATTCACATTAGAAAAATATACATTACTTGAAATAGACTTTTTTTGGATAAAATACGTACAAACCTAGGGCTGCGGTCATGACCCCGTTTCACTGCAAGGGCTCTGCCTCCACGGTTCCTAGAGGCAGCCGATCCGGGGGGACCGTCTGCAGGGCAGGCCCCTCCGCCTGGGTCAGTATGACAATGCCCTCCTCCCCAGACACTATGGAACCTGGGTGGGACAAGAGAAGCCCATTGGGAGTCTGAATAAATATCTGCTCCTGTCCCTGAGACAAAAGTTCGCGGCACGCGTTGGTGATTTCAAAGGCCATGGCTTCACCGACGGCAGGGACGGTCCCCAGTGCCCTCTGGTCAGTGTGCACCCCTGTCCCACAGGGAAACTGGTCCAAGTCCCCCGCGTGGCTCCCAAGCCCCTCGTCAGCAGACGGCGATCCAGCCTGGCCGGGCCGAGGCCCCAGCTTGGGCACGGTGGTGTAGGCACAGTCCATGGATGAGGCTCTGTCCAGTGGAGGGGCTGTGACCTCTGCTCGCAGGGCCTTGCTGGGGCTGGCCGGCTGGCCGCCCAGGTGGCGGTCAGGCATCTCGCGGGACTCCCCAGCTTCGGCCCTTCCAGACCCTGCAGGCAGCGAGGCTGCCGCTCCTCCCGCGGAAGCCGAGCTGCTGCAGAGGGCCCAGCTCCCCAGGCTGTCCCCAGCACTCAGGTCTGAAGAGCATCCCTGAGCTTCCTCCGTGGGGAACGCTACCGCCTGCTCCTGGGTCATCGTCCCGGGCTGGGTGTGAAGGCCTGGCCCGCCGACACCTGGACAGGACAGTGGGGGATGCGCAGACCCGCTCCCGGCTGCCGAGTCGGCAAACGCCGTGAGCCGCTGGCCCGCCTGTGGTGTGCTTGTGTTGCTGTCCGGGGCGGGCACCGCGTGGCCTTCTTCAGGACGGCGGGAGGTGTCCCCATTCACTCGAGGGGCACAACCTAAACAGTGTGTGAAAATACGTGATCGCTCGTGAGCTGCGGCACGGCCTGTTCGCCGCACTCACTATCTGAACGAGCTGGTCCGGATTCACTTTCTTGCCCAAAAAAATGAAAACATAACCTCTCCTTGCTACTTGGGTTGGGAGCTTCCAGACACAAATGAAGTTCCAAGAGGAAATCCAGACCAGCCGGGCGAGGGGGCCGGGTTCCACACAGGTGCCCGAGCTGTCACTGCTTCCCGGCAAAGAATCTGCCCTCCCCTACTCGTTACTTGTTAAGTAATAAGTTGGAAAATGGAGAATGCCTCAAGCTGGAGGCCTTGGCATCAGGCGGGGGATCAGGTGGCCCTGGTAAGATTTTAGGTTGATAACCATTCTCAGTACGCCAGGTGTGCAAAGTGATAGTTCTGGCCAGAGCCGAATACAAGCCAGAGCGCGGCTTGTCTTCGAATGCTAAGTAAGTCTCGCCGGCACCGAAAGCAGAGTCTCCACAAAAGCCGAGCCACAGACCCCGCTGTCCTGGGCACACGCCTGCCCCGGCCGCCACGCGTACAGGGCCCAGGAAAACCTCAGAGACCTCGAGACCCACGGGGGTGGGAGGGAGCGGTAGACGTGAAACGGCAGGATGGGGGCGCGGCTGGGGTGAACTCCTGAGAAACCAGAGGGGTCTCTTAAATGCGGCCACGGGGACACCCGACCCCCAAAAGCGGGCCTGACGCACGGGGCACTTACCCTCCCCGGCCGCCGG